TGTGTGTGTGTGTGTGTGTGTGTGTGTGTGTGTGTGTGTGTGTGTGTGTGTGTGTGTGTGTGTGTGTGTACAGGAAGCCTTTGACCATTAGGAGCATTTTGGTTTGTGTGGAACATTCCAAACGTTCTTTTTAGTGTTTCAGCCATTGTTCTAGAAACCACCTGATGTTGTCACATAACATATTTTTACTTACCACTTTACCTAACTTTAACCACCACAACCTGAAACCACACCAGGTGGTAACCAACTTCTCAAAAAAATAATGTCTGACAAGTCATCAACATTCAGAAATGTCATGCTTTCAATAAACAAACAAGAAAAAACCCAAAACATTTACATGTTTTGTTTTGGGTTTTTAAGCAGTTATTTTACAACATTATTCATCTGAAGAGAAGTAAGGAAAACATTTTTTGTGTTGAAATCATACTCTTTCTTTTGACTAAACTCTAATATTTCCAGCAAGCCTGATTTTACAGCGGTCCACAAAGTCGACTCAGGAGATTTTTTAGTTACTGTAAACTGTCTGCTGACATTCCTGTTCAGACTGTTTGGTTGAGAGGGTCACTGAGTTTTTCCTGTTCACAGACGCCGAATCTGTTCACCACAAGGGAACACACAGCAATATTGTCTCTACACAATAAGATCCCAGCAATCAAACGGTGTTACATAAGCTGTCGTGCATTTGCATGTTTGTGTGTTGTAAACATTTCACAGTTTCTCTGGCTTCCTGAACAGTAACAGTTACTGTAAACTGGAGCTTTTTTGTTAACATGATTTTCCCCCCTCTGAAAACAGAATAAAAAATGAGTGTAAATAAATATTGAATTCCAAACAATGTCACATTCACGTGTGCAGAGGGAGTACAAACACAGCTGTGCCCTCAGGTTCATTATTTAAATACAAGCACTGATTTTTTTTTTCTTTTTCAGCCACTCTGTTGGCGATTTGCTTCTTTGTATTGGCTTGTTATCCTATTTCACGACCCAAGCTTTAGCTTTAGAAAAGGTCATCTAGCATTTGATTTTAGAAAATTAATGTTCAAAATAGGACATGTGGAGGGTTGGTGTGACAGAGGAGGATATCAGGGATTTATTGAGATGAGGGTTAGGGTTGGGGTTAGGCAGATGATCTGCTGTGGTGACCCCTAAAGTGAGCAGCTGGAAGATGAAGAAGAATGATGGACTATTCCAGATGGGCAAAACATCATCCTTTATAGAGGTGCTTGCACTTACTGATGATTAATCAATCAAGTAAAATTGATTAGCTGCTACTTACCCAGTTAATTTCTGTGGAAGTAGGGAGTTTTGACCTTATTTTTCACATGATTTTTATTTTTAGTTTCTATATGTATTTTTTTTTATGATGTGAAATTATTAGAAAGGAGAGACCTCTTAACATAACCCATTAACAAGAAATACATTTTCATCATAGACTGCAGAGATATAAAGGTTTAATAAAATGTCACCTGTGCGTGCCTCCAGACTGATGGGTTTAGACTGTAGCCTCCCACTGACAGTGATAGCCTGCAGCCTGTAGAGGGTGCCAGGTGTCAAACCAGCCAGCAGCAGAGAAGAAGAGCTAACTGAAACGCTGTAGTTCTGAACCACAACACTAAAAAGGAAAATACATGTTAATATTCACACTGACATGAATAAAAGTTAAAGCAGAGTGGATAAATGTATAACGAGGGACTTTAAAAGCAGCTGTAGATGTTGCTGGCTACACATACTGCATGATTGCAGTTTGACTTCTATCTGTTTTAAGACGTGGGCTGAAAGATGAATGATCTCAGACCTCGTGTAATGCTGTAGATTTTACAAGTGTTTTAAATACCCTGATCAAACAGAAGTTACTGTAATAGTTTCCTTATAGACACACCTATCCTGTAGCAATGTCAACATGTACAAGTCTACATCTCCTGGTGGTTTTGTCCATGAGGCCTCAAGATTGTTGACGCCCATGTTTCTCAGAGTGAAGGCATGCAATTCCATGGGAACTGAAGACAAAGAAAAACACATGAGAAACTTAAAGTAAATGAACATCTTCCCAAAATACTTAAACATTCCTTAAGCCATTCAATAACACTTATCTCAGCATTCAGTTTTTTAACTTTTACTGTTCTATGCTATTATTGTATGGTGTATTATATATACACATATATACATATATATATATATATATATAT